AGGAGGTGTGATATGGATGAAAATTCAACGAAGGAGACTGAGAAAGACTGGTCAGAGGAGAACCAGGAAAGAAGAGTGGGTTGAAAAACAAGAGTAAAGAATATCAAGCAGGACATGATCAACTGTGGCTTGGTGGCTTCGCAAACTCTAAAAGATATATTAGTGTTATTTGTTGTTATTGTTATTATTAGTATTATTGCAGAAAGCTCAGGAAAGATAAGAATTGAGAAAAGAACATTAGAGATTAAAATCTAGAGAGATATAAGAGATGGTCAAGGGGGTAAGCTCCTGTTGAACATGAGAGAGGATAGGATCAAGGCTACAAATGGAGTTATTTCCAGGCAACCTTAGAAAAAAATATCTTTTTCTTTAAAATGGGAGCAAAGGAGAAGATAAGACAATCTTCTAAACTTCAGAGACTTCACAGCCTGTGAAGTAGGTTAAAGTTACTTTTGGCCAAGCATCAATAACTCTGGGATGAAAACTATGACATTATAACTGTCATTTTCTTTTCTTTTCCTTTCTTTTCTTTTCCTTTCTTTTCTTTTCCTTTCTTTTCTTTTCTTTTCTTTTCTTTTCTTTCTTTTTTTTTTTTTTTTTTTTTTTTTTTTTTTTTTTTTTTTTTTTTTTTTTTTTTTTTTTTTTTTTGTTTTTTGAGGTTAAGTGACTTGCCCAGGGTCACACAGCTAGTAAGTGCCAAGTGTTTGGTCTGAGGCCGAATTTGAACTCAGATCCTCCTGACTTCAGAGTCAGTGCTCTATCCACTGTACCACCTAGCTTCCCCTAACTGTTATTTTCTAATGCATTCACTAGAAAGGCTACATGTTGTCTTCACTGGGCCTTCTGTACAGGCCTCTGCATGATTAGCAGAGGTTATAAAGCTCAGGATCTTGGTCTCCCTGAGGGTTGCAAAGTATGTTTCTAGATTTTCTCATTCCTGCCAAAACGAACTTTCAAAGTCCCTACATCTTCAGAAAGGATCCTGTCAGGAAAACCATGTAAAGAGAAATATTATTTTGAACACTTCAGCAACTGTAGAAGCTAAAAGGTGAATCTGGAGGGCAAGGTCATTATCTTCCTCTTGTTCATCCACCTTCCTGCCTTGAATTAGCTGTGGTCAGCTACAAGCTGACATATATCTAATTGGGGAGATTAAATACACATAGTAGTATGTCTGTAAGGGTAGTTTGTACAAGATGAAAAAATTCTGTTAGACTAGTATAGGAGGTAAAGATACTTCTTCTCCTCTGGCCCCCACCCTTGGAATGTTAGCCTTACCAGTCTTACTATCATTAGAATATTAATATGATAAGTCTTGTCCAACTATTCTTCATACCCCCTCAGATTTGGCCTACTCTCTAGTCACTGTCCTTGAAGCCACTCTTATAGAGGCTTTTCTCTGTATGTCTATGCAGGAGAATAAAATCTTGAAGGGTTACTGAACTGCCACAGCCACCTACACAGACAAAATGCTATTTTAAGCTCTTTTTATAGCCTAGGAAAAAAGGACCAGATACATTCTACTCTGAGAAGGGTATAAAATATGGAAATCGTTAAAATTCCCTTATATAGCTTAGGGGCTCCCAGGCAGGGAAAGCTAACTCTTTCCATCCTCTCCTCCCCCCACAATTCAGAGAATCTGTGCTTTCTGTTTCTTTGTCTCCCATTTGTATACCTTGCCCAGCCACTACCCTCTTCTTTCTGGCTTTTCATTCACAGTAACAAAACATACAAATCAAAAGCGACTATGATTGATCACACTCTAAGCTGGCATTAGTGCCAATTAAATGACAGAGTAAGCAAACTAAAACAAAAACAAACAGATAAGCTTTAGACTTAATATGAACCCTCCAAAGCAAGGAACTATCCTTATCTGTTGTCAGTTCTTTCAAAGAAATATTTCTACAAAGATCAGTCAACTTCAGCTTGCCTCTACTAAACTTCGGGCTGCTTCATTGTTCATGATGCTGCTATCTCAATTGCTTTACTTTAATTTCATCTTCCTTTTCACTCTCTATTTCATCCATTTCTTGCTTGAATCCCTGACCAAAAGTTAAACTGAATACCCATTCATTGTCAGAAGCATTCAGTTCAAACCTATGTACCCTTCCTCACTTCTTGAAGTCCTTGACTTTTCTCCTTCTAAAGGAGAAAAAACAATCTGTCTCACAGCACCTTTCTGTAAAGACTTGTGTGAACTGATGCAGAGCAAAGCCAGCAGAACCAGGAGAACAATGTATACAATAACACAAGTTTTATAAAGGCAAACAACTATGAGAGACTTAAAAACTCTTATCAATATGATGATAAATTATAATTACAGAGAATGAAGATGGACTATGTTATTCACCACCTGAAAGAAAGCATTCTTGCATGTGGATAATGTGGAGATTTGTTTTGCTTGACCATACATATTTGTTACTAGGGTTACTTTTCCCCTTCCCTTCCCCTTCCTCACTTTCACCCCTTTCCCCTCCTCTTCTCATCTCTCCCCTCCTTTTCTCTTCTCTTTTATTTTGAATTGAGGAAGAAATGGATGTTAAATGGTGAAAATAAATGCTTGTTAAATTAAAAATTTTTATAAAAGACACAATATCTCTGCCAGCTGTGAATTGTGACAAGCCAAAGAACTCCATTTTAGCCCAGCAAAACTTAATCCACAATATGTATTTCTCCTTGGGAGAAAGTGATACCAAGGGTAACATATAAACATGTGAAAAATGTCAGAAAGAATAGCAAGAAAGAGATATTGAAGAGTGATATGTCAGGTGTAATGAGATGTGTCTCAGAGTTTCATTTAACTTCAAATTTATACTTAACTGGTTTGTTCACAAGAGTAAAACTTCACAATAGACCTGTTGAATGACTGAATTTTGTTGATGTTTTTACAATTGCCAATTTTCTCAGTATACTCTTATGAATTGGTGTGTTAGAAGAGCTTTTCCTATAGCTACAACATTATTTATGGTGGTTATTTTCTTGGCTAAAGCACAGAAATCTATTTAACCCATAGTATTCTTGAAGTGTACTAAATAATACTGAAATTTTCTATTGTTTTTATGGCAATCTCATCTAATGACAATCCTAAGACAATAGTATCTAGAAGAGTATCTAGAAAGTATCTACAAGAATCCCCTCCTTCCTCATCGACTTGTGATGAAGAGATTGTAGCTCCTTCCTTCCCCCATTCCTTACTCTTCTTAAATAGAGAAATGCAGTTTCTTCTTATTCTTCTTTGGCAATAAGAATTTTTCTCCTTTGCCTTTCTATTCATTTCAATAGACATATAAAAATATATCAGGACTCAGGGACATATGAGGAAGTTGAGGCTTGGTGAGGAACTCAGTAAGAATTGGTGGGGAGGAGAGAGCTTAGAATAGTTTAGGATAGGAAACTCAGAATAAGCTCTGGTTATGGGCTTGAGAATTTTGGTTAGGGTAAGGTCAGCTCTATTGCCAGAATCTACTGTTGTTTTTGTTGGTCCTTCATTTTCAAAGATGACCAGGGCCAGTAGGGCAAAGGTGAAGAGAAACAAACAAATAAACAAACAAATGACCCAAAACAGCAGTAGAGGATTCTAAGAGGGAACTGAAGGAGAAGTCTTGTAACCATGACCACCATGGAAGCCTTACATAATTTTTTTTGTGACTTAGAGTTTCTAAGTCAGGAACACTCTATTCTAATTTATTTATTTATTTTTCCTCCTGTTACAGTGTAAAAAATGTTGGGCTGGGTGTCAGCATGCCTACGTCTTAGTTGTTCTCTGCCACTAAACTACTGTACAACCTTGAGAATATTATATGGACTCCCTGGGCTTCAGTTTCCCATCTCTAAATTGAAATGGTTAGGCTAGATCTGGGTGGGGAACCTGCAGTCTTGAGGCCACATGTGGCCCTCTATGTCCTCAAGTGTGGCCCTTTGACCAAATCTAAACTTCACAGAGCAAATCCCCTTAATAAAAGGATTTGTACTGTAAAACTTGGACTCAGTCAAAGGGCCATACTTGAGGACCTGGAAAGTCACATGTGGCCTCAAGGTTACAGATTTTCCACCCCTGGGGTAGACTATTTCCACAGCTCCTTCAGTCTTTAACATTTGAAGATTCTGTGAATTACCATTTGAACACAAACATCAGAAAGTAATCCAATTACAGATAATTGGAATAGAAAGGTCAATCCAAAATTGAAAATTTTAGGTTTCTTATTTCTCTTGTTTCAGTTCAGGTCCTCTAACAAGGCATAGGTTCCAGTTCTCCAGTCTGGGCGTGTTGCCAGCAAGATTCAGTTTAGTCGAGATGAGATTGTGTTTAATATCTTTGTCCTTTATGTCATCCCTGGTATAGGTGCTAGTAACACAAAAAGAAAAAGTGAAGGGGAAAACAAAAACAAATATCAACAACTACAAGAACAAAAACAAAAACTAAATTCTAAAAGCTAAGGACTTGGGTAATCCAGAAGCTAAATCAGTTTCTGTAGAAATGAGAGCTGACTTACCCTATACCTCAGAGGTTTAAGATGTATCTGTGAGAGTACAACTTAAAACGTTGTGTTGTAGTGGATGGCTTGCTAGACATATAGTCAGGAAAATCTGAGTTCAAATCCAGACTCACTTATTACCACTTATGTGACCCTGGGCAAGTCACTTAATCTTTGTCTGCCTCAGTTTCAACAACAGTAAAATGGATAATAATAGCGTCTACTTCTCAGGGTAGTTGTGAGGATCAAATGATCAAAAATATTTGTAAAGTATTTAGAACAGAGTCTGGCACTGAGTAGGTCATTAATAAATGATTCTTCCCTTCCGTTCTCTTCCCCTTTAATGGTTATGTTACCTTGAGTCTGTACTTGAATTTCCTCATCTTTAAATGAAGATTAATCTACAGGGTTATTTTGAGAACTGATTGAGCTAACAGATGTAAAGGACTGTGAAAAATCTTGAAGTGCTTTTGTAAACATTAGCTATTTTTATAACCCCTTTTTTTTCCTGTTGTGTTATTCTAGGATAAAAGAGGAGTGGAATTTTGTTCATGAATGCAGGAAGAAAGGCATTCCCCAATCTGTATACTGCAAGAATGGTTTTGTAGACACCGATGTGAGGATTTTGGAGAGAATAGAAAAGAACTCATCACTGACAAAGGAGTCACTCTCCAAGGGCAGAGGAAAAAGAAAAAATAAATTCATTTTTGAACTTTCAGGGATGGAGTGGAAGGTAAATTGGTTTTGGTCCTCTGCTTGTAGCATTTGAGTGGTTCATGTGGGGCTTTTACTAATGTCCACCACTAATGCTGAAATAAGCTTCTAGGAGAGACAATAGCTTTGCTTCTTTTTTCACTTTAAATAAATAATTTTCTCCCACATTCCAAAGAGTTTGGGGATATGAAAGACTTAATTATCATTTCTCTAATTATCTATAAACTACTCCTTTATAAAATGCTATTATCCACTATCACATTGCATTAGAAAACTTCTTTGAAAATATCTGTAGGGTAAAAGAAAATAGTAGAAACCAGCCTCAATTAGTTGGTCACTGTTTCCTAATATCCATGATTCTATTGGTCTGTTTTGATATTTAAGATTATCCTATATCTATCAACATTATAGACCAAGGCTTTCTTTTAAAAAGTATACACAAAATTGTAGAAAATGAGGAGTTGTACTAGATAATATCTTAGGTTCCTTTTAGTTCTTGTCTATGCTGATAAATCAGAAAATAATTCATATGGTTTTGTTGAATTATAATATAATTGCCATGTTGTAAGAAAGCTTAAGGGGTCATTCAGTCTGTCTTCCTGACTCAGGAATGCATTGAACTCGATTTAGGCCACAGATAAATGATCTTTAAGAATTTTTTCCTTAAATGCATTTTGCATGATCACACATGTATAACCTATGTTAAATTGCTTGCCTTCTCAATGAGGAGGAGGGGAGTTAGGGAGAGAATTTGGGATTTAAAAAATTTTTAATTTGAATTTGAAAATCAAAAAATTTGAAAAAATAATGTTAAAATTGTTTTACACGTAATTGGGGGAAATCAAATATTAAATAATAACAAAATAATTATTTCCTTCAGTATCTCCAGAGTAGGAAACTCAAGAACTTTGCTTGGGTTTTTTTTTCTTTTACCATAGTGCATCATAAACACTAGCTCTGAGTTTCCAGATGAAATATATGAGGAAGGAAATAGTGATTTCTTCAGTCAGCTTTAGGCAAGTCAGAGTTTCTAAAAGAAAAAAAAACTTTTTTTGTTTTTTGGTCTGTTGACTACTCAAGGAGGGTGAAAGACCCTGTGGCCAATTTTTCCTCTTGTCACTCCAATGGTACACTTCCACACTATATTTCTGCACATTACCAAAATGAATAGGAAGAGCAGCAAAGATTTTGCTGAAGCAATACTTTAAAAAAAAAATTCAGCATCATGCATTAGTTTTATTCATTTATTTATTTATTTATCAAATCATTTATCTATCTATCTATCTATCTATCTATCAATTTATTTTTGCCCTCTTTTTAAAAAAATCTATGTTTTGACTTTCATTACCATCTACCGGTGCAGATCAGCCACTCCTCTGTGATTTGTAGTTTTGGACAATTGCCTTGGGCACTGAGATATCAAGTGACTTGTCTATGGTCACTTATCATGTATATATTAGAGGCTGGATTTGAACGCAGGTCTTTCTGAAAAGCCATCTCTCTGGCCACTATCTCAACAACTTACTCCATTCAACAAGTATTTCAGTGCTTACTATGTGCCAGACATTATACAAGGTGCCCAGGATGAAACAAAGATGAAACTAAAATTAATCAGACTCTGACCCGGAGGAGATTATATTCTATTGAAGGAAGGAGCGAGGGGACAACAAGCTTACAGAAAATTAAATGCCAAATCATACAAAGTAATTTTAGGGCTATCAGAATAAATTCCCTGCAGGTGGTGTCATGGGAGCTGAGCTTTGAAGGAATCTAGGTGTTATTGTTTATGACAATTTATAATAATATTAGCTAGCATTTATATATACAGAATCCTCACAATAACCCTGGAAGGCAGGTGCTGTTATTATTCCTATATTATGGATGAGGAAACTGAGGTAGACCTCAAGATTAAGGGATTTGCCCAGAGTCACACAACTAGTAAGTGCCAGAAGCTAGATTTGAAATCAGGCCTTCTTGACTCGAGAGCCAGTACTCTATCTACTGAACCACTTAGCTGCTTCTATGAAGAAGAGATGTAGAAGTAGAACTATCCAGGCCTGGCATATCTATGGGCAACAATAAACAGGCTTATTTGGTTAGAACACAGAGAGAGTCATGCATAAGTCTGGGAAAGGTATGCTGGAGCCCAGACTGTAATGTGTTTTAAAAGTGAATATATTTGATCTTAAAGGCAGGATATAGACCCTTTGGAGCTTTTTGAGCAGGAGAGCAACATGATCAGACTTGCACTTTGGAAATGTCAATATCAACTTGAAAGCTCTATGAAGCATGCTGCAGAAAATGAGCCTCACTTCCCTCATTAATGGTCCACAGGCTAATTTCTGAGAAGCAGACATTAATTCAACACACTTTCTGAGTGCAAACTATGTGCAAGGCACTATCCTAGCTGCAGTGAATACAATGATGGATAAAACATGACCTATGACTGTTCCAAAGCTAGGCAAGATACATGTGTCTTTGGCCTTCTCATTTCCCGATGGCACAGTGTTAGCTAACACAAAACACGGTAAATCTGGAACAGTAACTCAGTAGCTAGATATCTCACAAAAGCTGGACTGAGAACAATTGTTAGAAATAGTAGAAAAACAGATTTTGGTACATGTAAGGGGGAAAAAAATCCCAGCATTTACAGCTATTTGCAAATAAGATGATTTGCCCCAGGAGAGAGTAAGTTCCCCATGACTGGATGACTTCGGGAAGAAATGAAGGGAATTCTTGCTCAAGTATGAATGGGACTGACTTGAAGATCTCTAAGGCTCCTTGCAACTTGAGACTCTGCCATAGATTTAAATCAAGCATCTTTTTACCTTAAAGTAATTGGGGACCATTCTAACCAGTATATAAGACCCAGCCCTACCTAGGGGAAGCGATCCTCCAGATGTGAAGAGCAGATTCAATTCCTCCTCCTATTCCCTTTAGTATACTATTATAAACCAACTCGTCACAACCTCTTTTGACATCTCTATTACTTTATAATTATTTAATATGGCAACTCAATCAGCAACATTTACTGAGCAACTATTATGTACAATGTAATGTTTTGTGTCCTTAGGGAGACATACAAGTATATTATAGAGATAAGACAAAACATACAGAGAGTAACAGACTAGGAATTAAGAGATCTAGTCCCAGCTCTCTCACTTGTTAAATAAGTGACCTGGGGCATGTAAATTGATTTGACCATATTCCTACTATCCTCTAATATGGTCATTAAGTTAACATTAAATATTTGTTAAGCAAATAAGATGAAAATTTCAAGGAGATTACAGTATAGTGGAGGGGAAAGGAGGTAAGACATATATACAGGTAACTATGGTTCTCTCAAGTTGATTTATCTCTATGCAAATAATATTCTACCCTTGTCTCTCTTCATCTCCATGTCCACATCAACAGCTGCTTTTCGGACATTTCAAACTGGATGTCCTATTCAAGAAGACATAGTGGCTCCCTCTTTCTGTCAGGATTTAATACAAACTCCTCTGTTTGGTATTTTAGCCCTACTCAGTCTGAGTTAAGCCTGCCTTTTCTGGGTTTCTTATGTACCCTTCAGTTATCCTATGTTCTTGTTGCTCCTGAATCATGGCATGCTATCTTCCATACTGCTGTTTGCACAGGCTGCCTGACTGCCTGGAAAGTACTCTCCTCCTCACCTCTACCTTTGAGAATCCCTAACTTCCTTCAAACCTCAGTTCCAGAGGCACATAAGGCCTTCCTTCATTCTTCCATCTGCTGGTCTCCCCTCTTCCACCCCATATAACTTTGCATATATTTTGCACTGAAACACACACACACACACACACACACACATACATACATATATATGTATATATATATATAAACAATACATATATATATATATGTATGAGACAGAAAGACAGAGACAGAAATATACACACACAGAGACAGAGGCAGATGAACACAGAGACAGAGAAACTGAGAGACAGACATGTACAGAAATAGAGACAGAGAAACAGAGACACACAGAGAGACAGAGAGAAAGAGAAACAGAGAGAATGAAGAAAGGTAAGCCAGAAAAAGATACAGTGGGAAGCCCAGACAATTAACAAGATGACATTAAACTGCATTTGTGGAGGCAAAACATTTTGAAAGAGGCTACCACTTTTTTGACCATCACCTAAGATATCAGTCTCAAGCAGACATTAGTAATCATGGATGGTATCAAAATACTGACTTAAAGAATGGGGAGGGGAATCTAATGAAGATAAAGGAACTGAAGTGTTGACTTTTCTGTTTGCAGGAATGTCTTTTTGAAGTGATAGAGAAAAAAGAAAGGGTACTCTTTCCACATGAATTCGAGAGGCCATATGTGGAAGTAGCAATAGGAATGGGGTTGTACCTTTATAACTGGGAGGTCAGTAAATGGAATGGAACATGATCTATATTTATTCCCAGGGAAAGGTAATGGGGTAACTTGAGGATGTCATAAACTTAGGAGGGAGGAGCTACCACATTGGGTTACAGAGTGATAATCCCAAAAGATCTGACAAGTTAGAGTATTGGGTTGAATAGAATAAACTTCACAGTGGATGAAGCTTTGGAATTGGAGTTAATTCTAATCCTCTCTCAGATTCCTATTAGCTGTGTGACCCTAGGCAAGTCTCACTCAGTAACCTCTCACAATCTCAGTTTCCTCAGCTGTAAAATGGAGATTAAAAATTGTACCTACTTCACAGGGTTGGTGTGAATATCAAATGAGAAAACATATGTAAAGTGCTCTGCTTAAAGCTCTGTATAAATTCTAGCCATTAATAAAGATTCAACGTTTCATTCGAGTTTTTTTTTTTTAATCAACTCCATGAGCACAAGATGAGGGAACTATGGTTAGCCATGGTTTGCCTGAAAGAAGATATGGGGATTTAAGTGGATTGCAAACTCACTATGTGTCATCACATGCATGCTATGTCAGCCAAAAAAAATCTAATTTGATCTTGGGCTGCATTAAGAGAAACATAACTTCCTGGAATAAGAAGGTGATAA